GAGAAAATGAAAAATCAGAACAATTTATAAAAATAAACGAAAACTTCGCACGGTCCAACCTTTTACATTCAAAGGTAATCCCTCTTCAGTTTTGATGGGACAAATTCAGAAATTTTTCCCAACTAACTATTCATTCGAAATGAAACGTAGAGTTACACTAAATCTTCCTTTGTTTCCGGTGGGACCAATTTACTAATCCGATTTGGTCAAATTTTCCTTAACACTGCAAAGCTTAGTAGTTGTTTGACCTTGTTTTAGAAACTTAGTCATATTAGCATGAAGATCTAGATGAACGCACCTAGTCTGGAGTCCATAGTATGCATGCTAATTCCCAGAGTTGGACCGTGTACTTGGTACATTTCCAGACGTTTCGCCGGAATCGTAGTCAGCACGGTCAGTGAACATTGCCATTTTTAGCACCACACTACGACTCACCACCCCGCTTCCCAACTCTTGTGCTGGGAATGTTGATCTGAGTTTGCCGTATTAGTCCGCAATCCACTTCCCAGCATAGGATGTAAAGAGATCGCATGAAATCCGTTCAAAAGGGAACACCATAGCACATTTAAATGAGCAATTAAGAAATTGTGATAGTGAAGGGGGGATACGAGGCTATAAGATATATGAACACCCTAGGTTAGGAGGGATACCTCAACTGTTTATCAGGCACTTAGTCAGAGTATCGACTTCACTTGTCTCTTTGTTGAGTTGTAGTGTGGTGCTAAGAATGGCAAGGCTCATTGACGATGCCGGCGAAACGTCCGGGAATGTATCAAGTCCACGGTCCGACTCTGATAATGATCATACATACAATGGACTCCGGACTAGATTCTTTCCTCTAAGTCTTCCTACCAATATGAAAAAGTTGCGAAAACAAGGTTAAACTACTACTTTTCCACGAAAATGGAACGCGACCATACAAAAGGCCACAGCATCTTGGTCGTCATACCTTCATTGCAAAGTTTATTTTAAGAATTCCTCCAAGCTCAGCTTTTCGTCATAACACTTTTTGATTCATTTTAATAAATAAAAACTTACGAAGCTTTTTTCCCTTTGCTATATGAATAAGTCACACCTTAATATTCTTTTCCTCCAGGGAAGCAGTCTCCTTTAGTAGTATGTGTTGTGACTCGGCTCATCTTTCTTACTTTATTGGCATAGTTATGTTGCATGAAGCTGAACCCTTCCCCTCCTATGATCTCCAGGCTTGATATTGAATGTACAATTTCACACATCAGGCCTTTTCCCACCTGCGTTCTCCATTAGCACACAGGACACTCATGATCCACACACCTCAGTCTTCATACACAGCCTGACGCACACAATCTGACTGCGTCAGTCACCACTTCTTCGCCAGTCGGACTTGAAAGTGCTGTTGAATCCACCCGATTCTGTTTATTTGCACAATTGTGCGACGTCAATCAGAGGCAGATTTTCACATCTCAAAATGTTTGGTAGAAAGAACTAGTAGCCAGATCTAATTATAAGCGGCACAATCTTCATTGAGATAAGAGCGACTTCTGCCGCGACGCCCATTTCGCTATAGCTTAGCGCCATATTCTCACTTTTACATCTGCGTCTTGTCTGTAGAATGACCTGATGTTCTGCTCTCGGTGTACCAAAAGGTGTCTTATCGTCGAGACAGATTTCTAGACCAGACCTTCCTCGGGATGACAGTCATAGGGACTCGATTTCAACATGTACCACTTCCTTCGTGTACAGCGTCTATGCGCCACGGATCTGGATCTGCGTCAAAGAAAAAGCACAAGCAGGATCGTGCTTACTCAACCTTCTCCAACAACTGTGTAGTTAAGTCAGCGTCTAAGCGCTACTTGTTGTTGCGCTGCAGCAATTTGACATTTTCTGGACTTTCGCCGTATCAACGCAACTTCATCACATTGTTTCCATACGCATTATCTGATCGTGGCTTGGCTGCATTACCCAACATATCGTTATGTTTGCCCGGTTTCCGATATCCTCTCCTCTTCATCTCTGCAGCACCACTACATACAAACTGCACCTAAAATAGAGTTCAAA